CGACCAGATGACGCTGCTGAAGAAAATGGTGGTACAGTCAACAGTCGAGCAGATGATGCTGTTGAAGATCAAGAAAATGGCAGTACAAATGCTGAAGAATGGGAGACTGTTCAGCCTAATCGTAGAGGAACAAAACGTCCTCGTAAACCACAAGTTGACAGTAGCACTAGCAGTGCTAAGAAATGGAAAGCGTAATAATTATAGACTATACAAAAATGTCTTTTGCACAAATTTTTGCCGAATGTCCATGTACAAAATTAATTTTTGTTGAATATTTAAAAATTCATTATAAAGCACATAATGCGTACATGTAATTGCTAATGATTATTAGTGTTTTTTTAAAGGTCTACATTCAATATCAGTTACAATATGATCAACATGAGGTGCATATGATTTAACATGTTCTACATGTCTCACAGTAACAGACCAACCACCATTATCTTCTTTATATAATGATTCTAATATTGTCTTTATCCTAACAGCTACACTGACACACTGTTACTCCAGTACAACCATGAAGACTCCTTCACTTTACAGCTGCTAATCCCTCCACAATCAAGTACGACAATCAAGCAGTAACTAGCTCAGGCTGAGGCTAATTGTACCATTATCTTATTATTAATGATCATCATCATTATAAAGTCTCTCTTTGTTCCTCATAGTTGTTCTTACGTATTCTCAATTTCTCATTGATGATAGGTCCACGTATGACAGTCTTTCTATTATTATTATTTCAAGAGGAAATGGTACAGTCTTATGGAGCAACTGGAGGAGATTAGGAGAGAAGGAAGACTAGTGTTTTTAGTATTACCTGCTTTGTTATTCTCATTGTAGGAACAACTGGAGGTGCATTCGGACTAAAAAAAGAGAAGAAACAAGAGCTTGCTTCAGTTGCTTGAAATAAACAAACCATACCCAAATAGCCACGCCCAGCTGCAGACCCCAGTTTTGCGGGAGCAGACTAATTTTTAGATCTATTAGTGCACGGAGATGACACGGAATTTCAATTTGAGAAAATACTGTGAAAGCCCCACCTACTTCGCACACACGTCATTAACCCACGTGTTTTCACATGTTATAAAGTAAACGAGTAAAAATACCCGGTAATGTACTGCTTAAGGCAAAGAGTCTATTTAGTTTTTCCTCCAACTAACAGTCTGCCATCCATCTTTATTAGCGTCATCCCAAGGTCGGGGATGAGCTCTCCTTGAGGACTGAGGTGGGAGACGAGCTCTTTCCTTAGTCTCAATCTCACGTATATAGACATACTTCTCTGAACCATCTTTTGAGCCTATTCTCTCATAGCATCGATATTTTTTTGCTTCGATAAAATATAACTTTGCAGCTAACTCATCATTGCAGACTTTAGGCATAAAATTTTCCAAGTTAAATTCTTTTCCTACTTCATTGAAATAGAGAACAAGACCAAATAGTTTTGTTTCTTTGGAGTCTTCAAAGTTTACCCAATCATACTGAAACTGACATTCTGCTAAAGCTTCCACCTTCTCACACCATTCATCTTTGGGGAACCAATCTCTCGGAGAGTGCCAGTGTTTAAATTTCTGTTTATCAACTTTGAGAACAACACCAGACTCTTTTAGAACACGATCATCATACCCAGAAATGTCAAACTTTCGATTGGTAAAGGTTACTGTCTCAAGATAATCTAAATATTTTAGCTTTATTTGCCCTTCTCTAGCAAGTTCTTTGAGTTCATTTGATACGGCATGCTTCCACACGATAACCTCCACGTTCCATTTATACTTCAGAGCCTTTTCAATGGCAGGTCTGGCATCTGCATCTCCTGTTATGACAACGAACGTACTTCTTTTTTCCTTTGGGGTCATGCAGGCCCTTTCAGTGGCATCGGCAACTAAGTCAGAGTCTACCATCTTCTCTTTACCTGTAACTTGACTTCTTTTGCGTACTTTAACTTCAAAATTACTTTTCCTTATTTTCTCCCAGACTGTATCGACTGGAGGTGGCACAGAACCATACAAAAAACCTTTAGCTACAGGACGACCAGCTGCAACCACTTCTGCTAATTTGCCTATATCGATTCTAACTCTAGAGTCTTCTCGCCGCCCAATCTTGCTACCTGCAAGCTTTTTAGACTCAATCCAGATGTTGGAGTTGTCTACATAAATGTAAATGGGTAATTCT